AAATTTCTTTGAATTAAGACAATTTTTACAAATCTTAAAATTAATATTCGTTAACAAATTTTAAAAATACAGCCGACATCAATTTAATATATAAAAAAAATTAATCGAAAATAGTACAACCGGCAAATTACAGTATTCACTCTGTAGTTTATGAAGTTTTCTTTGGTTTGGAAAAGGCATGTTAACTTTATTGAAATTGAAAGCGCCTTTTCTTTTTAAAATAATAAATACTTTCTTTATTGAGAAAAAAAAATCACTTTCCAATTAAAAAATTGAGGGTAGTGGTACTGGATAATTTTTTTTGTGAGTTAGTACTGTATTGTAGTGTTAATGTTTACAGGTGACAGTGTCATATATTTTATTTGCATTATCTTATTCTAACATGTTATTAAATTGTTAGTTTAAATCGTTTCGTTAGGTATGAGGGGACCAACCATCTCTTTTGTAATGTCTTTTATTATTATATTGATGATTAATTGGTTCAAGTAGAAGTGGTTTGATTTTTTTTAAATAAAATTTTAAATTTAAGTTTTGTAAATTAAAAAATATACATTAAGTGAGTTTTTTTTTTTATAAAATCTGACGTAATTCAATTTTAAATTAATTAAAATCGAATGTAATTATTAGATATTAAGAGATTAATAAAAATATATATATATATCTTATTATACTTTTTATAAAATTTCTTCAATTATGGGTTGTAATCATACCTCACAACTTTTTCAAACCCCTTCACATGCATCACATGTTTTGCATATGACTCGAAATTATGACCATGTTTGTTAAGGACTTGGCATAGTTCACATTTTAATTCAATTTTTAACCAATAATAATAAGGAAGAACATCAATGGCAATTGGAGTGTAGGTTTGAGATTCTGGGTTCTACACGAATGGTGAGTTTTTTTTTTTTTCCCCCAAAAATTTCTTAGATTTTGTAATTAAAAAAAGTATTTTTTATGTCAACTTATGTAAAAAAAAAAAACTGAACACCATAAAATTATTTTAATACATTTTTTTCTTACATGTTAGATTATTCATTTTTGTATGTTTGATGCTAGTGAAATAGACCATTCTTTTTCCAAATTCATTTGAACATATATTAAGATTTAAAACTAAGACTTTTAATATGAAAGTTAAAAACTTTTAATTGAAACATTACTTTTTGTATTTTTTGAACATCGAGGAATTTTGGGGGAATGAGAGATTTTTTTCAAATAATTGGTAAGAGTTAATTTCTCAACCAATTAAATCTAAATAATAAGATTTGAGAATGAACTATTAGATTTGAATATCTGATTTTAATTAAAACATTACCTTTTTTTTTTAACGGGTTTAAATTCACAAGATTTTAATCACAACTTTTAAGTTGAGGAATATATTTTACAAATCAATTTATAATTGTTGGGTCACGAGCTGCATGTACTTAATTGAAACATTACTTAAATATACATAATCTATACAATTATACTTATTCGTACTGTCCACACAAAGAAAATGATCCTCATGATTAAATGGAGATATGGATGGTGGTATGTATGAGATTGGATTGATGAGGTGCAAATCTTTTGCCTTTGCTGTTCTTTAACCTTTTCCTTTTGCCATCCGAAGAACAACAAAAGCAAAAAGATTTGCAGATATTACTAGGAATATCTTGAATTAAGTTTGTCATTTTGAATTATGTCTTTCTAACACATGTTAAGAACACATTTTTATTATTAATATATATATATATAAATATAAAAATTAATATTAATTTTAGTAATATTATCTAGTAAATAAATTTAAATAGATAAATAATAAATAAAAATTTAATTTTTATTTTTATTATAAATTTATAATAAAAAATATATTATTATATTATTCACATGTACCTAAAAAGTAAAAACACAATTAAAAAAAAAACCTATTTTTAATTTTAACTTTTCGGTAAAGGGGGTGCACAACATCAACATCAACATCCATGGTTTTTGTACAGTGATTTTTAGTCTTCTTCCTGAGTGGCGCATGTTAAAGAGAACAATAGTATGGACCAATGAAACAGATTATGGGTGGATAAAACTTATTTTTAGTCATTTACTTTAATAAATTTATAAATTTTAACTCACCACCTTATACTATAATATTTTTAATTATTTACCTTAATAAATTTATAGGTTTTAATCCCTCACTTTATATTATGATACTTTTAGCCCTTCACTTATGTGAGTTGAAGAAAATAACCTTTATTTAAGGTTAAATTATAATATTTTATTAGTTTTATTAGCTGATTATTAATATCTGTTAGCAAACTGTTAATATCTGATAGTATTCTATTATAAAAAATATGAAACTTAAATTTAATTTTATTTATTAATTCTGTTAATAGAATACTGATAGAATGCTAATAATTAATTAATAGAGTTAACAATTAACTAATAGAACTAATAAAATGTTATAACTTAACATTAAATAAAGGTTTTTTTTTTAACTTGTATAAATAAGAAGTTAAAAGTGTCATAATATAAAATGATAAGTAAAACTTATAAATTTATTAAGATAAAAAACTAAAAATGTTACAATATAAATAAAAAAACTAAGACTTATAAACATATTAAGATAAAAAAAAATAAAAATAAGTTTTAACCTTATTAGTGGACCAGATCCTCATTCTTGCAGCTGCTAATGTATGTACAAAAAAAATTACTTCTGATTTAGTGGAGGAGCTGTGGAAGAGCCATCTTTATTCGACATCTGTTAAAAAAAAAAATCCCACTCCCAACGTTAATGTCTTTCACATGTCCCTTCACCAATTGACATAATCACCAAGATTGAGATGTTCTGTTCTGGGTTTTGTAACCTTAAATGTTGATTGGCAGCTGTCATTTCAGTTTTTGTGTTTATTCTGTCCTCCCCTCCTCTCGTGAGATGTAAATTTGACTTTCAAGACTTCTGTTTCACCGGTGGGATTCCATAAAAAATAAGGACAACATTATGTAATAAAAAACCATTCATCTGGATGGATCTAAGCATTTCCAAATTACTTCCTTCTTAGTACGGTTGTGATTAATAATAATAATAATGATATGGTTAGTAAAATGATAAAATATTATTTTTTAATTTATTAATAAAAATAAATATAATTATGAACTAATAAAATATTTAATATTTATTAATTAATAAGTTAATATTTAAAATAATTAAATTTTAATAACCTTAATTAATATTGATAGTGAACAATAACCACACTCTTTTCTTCTTAATATAATTAATTTCTCAAATCACTTTCATGTTTTTAAACACTATTTAAAATAAGTATTCAAGTTAAACAAAAATGCTTTTCAAGTCAATTTGTAAAAATTTCAAAAAAAAAAAAAAGGGTAAGAATATCAATGAAATTATTTAAATTATCTTAATAAATCACACAAATGTGTTGATTTATTAATAAATATTTAAATTTTTTTAAGTATTTTTGCTCCTTTTCTCTTTCCTATTAGTCGAACTTGAAAACTAAGTTGAAAAACATGTCAGTTGGGTTTTGAAACAAACATTTTTGTCATTAGTGGAAACTGCACTCATTAGTGGAAACCGCACTCACTAATAACAAAAATTGTCATTTTTATCCTGGAACTGTGAGTAGTTTTTAAAACGTTGCAAGAAATAGCTCTATTAATTCCATATTTTTCTTGGGAAATGACAGACAATATGCCAAATTATTGGAAAATTATGCCGAACCAAAGAAAATGGCGTTTCTAATCCAAGTGGTCCAGTCTAATCCAAAGTAGCCTGGTCCTTGTTGGTGTTGTTAGTCCATGTAGCATGCGATAGCCGACCTCAGAGAAAGGCACATGTGCATAACTGATCAAAACAATACAAAGGGCTCGGGATTTTAGTCAAATCCATGTGTGTTACATTTCTTCAAAGTTCAAAAACCATGTGAACGGACCAATTGAGAAGAACCTAGACCCACTAAACTGACCATATTCTCATATTCCTCCTTCAGAGTCAATCATAGTCCACTATATTGGTCGTCCTTTGGTGATGGAGTTTTTTAATCACATTTTTAAAATTTAGCGTTTAGTTTTTGTGTGTAAAAGACACAAAGGTGAATCAAAGTCTTCCATGGCCTAAAAGAAGCAATAATAATATAGTTATACTAGTTCTTAGAGATTAATGAATAGTAAATAGGAGATAATAAGTAGTGGATAACATATAAAAGATGTTAGTTTTAATAATTGTTTTGATATATAATATTTAGAGGTTGTTGTTTAATATCAAATAACAAATAAGGACAAAATTAAGAGTAGTTACTTTTATTTTATTTTTTTAAGTTCTTAACATTAACAATATGTTTCAGTTGAGTGAAATGGAAAAAAGGAGAATTGTATCCCTTTATTCTTATCTTTTCCTCTCATTTGGACAAATAAATAAATTAAATGAAAAACTAATGTAACAAATTTTCTTCTTCTCCTACTTCAATTTTTTAATAACCAAATAAAATAAATTTTTTTTTCCTCTATTCCATTTTCCTTAACCCAAACATACTGTAAAATAATTATATTATTGTTGTTGTTGTTGTTATATTTGTTGTTATTATTATTGTTGTTATTATTATACATTTACAAATGAAACACTCGTTATTTTTTAACAAAAAAATTAATTTTAAAATTTTAAATTTAAAGTAAAAATTACAAACTTTTTTATTAATTAATTTATCATAATGGCTTAGTAAATTTTTATTAAATAGAAAATTAGTTATAAATTAAATAAGGAAAAATAAAAATAAACAGGTTAATGTTAAAATACATTTAAAAAAATAATGTTAAATAATAAAATACCACAATTATTAAGATTGAATTTTGTTAGCCAAATAGTGTAGAAATTGGCCATTTGTGAATAATAATAGACTTAGTGGTGATCTTGCATTTTATACTTAATTATTTTATGAGTAAATTTCTCATAATAATATAAAAAATTTAATTCACTAGTAATTTGAGGAAAAAAACTACTTTTAGGAGATTTTTCAATCTATTAGCAAATTGAGCTCTAATTGCACACTAACCACTATTATGAAACCATTAAATAAAAATTTTTAACAAACACGAAGTATGCAGTGGTTTGTCGGAGAAAAAATTACCAAATACATTTTTGTAGCACTCTTGACAAAACTACTAATTGTTATCCTCAAAGCACTATACCAAATAGCTTTATAATGTTATGTAATATTATAAATTTATAATATAATGTATTATTATATAATTAATTTTTTTTATTCAAAAATTTGTTTATGATATTATATATATTTATTCATTTAATTCTTTTCATTCAAAAATTTGTTTATGATATTATATACATCTATTCATTTAATAATATCATATTTATTTAATAATATATTATAATTATATATTTATAATTTTATACGATATTATAGTTATATCATTAAAAAAAAAAAATCTTCACAATCACATCTCCGGAAAAGAGAAAAAGAGGGAGAGGTGGGTAGCCCAGACAAGCCCAGAATTGAGAAGAATTTGGATTTTGGACCTTGCTCCCAACAATATATGGATTGGGTCTCAATAGTTTGGACTTTGGAATTTTCTATGAAACAAAAGGGCCCAAACATGTGTTGAAGGGCTTTCTTTTCTGCTTCTTTCTAAAGGCATGTGCTTAACACCACGTTGTAGTTGCGTAAAATGGGGAGGAAGACTACCATTTATTATTTTTACGTTTCCCTGTGTATTGAGATACCTATTTTATACGAAACACCATATTTGACTTTGCCTGGTTCAGAAAATTCTTCCCACATCACATGGTAACGTGCTTGAAACAATGAACGAGATACCTTGCTTCTCTTACCGAACTCAAGTTGTGTCTTCCCATCAACCTCTACCTCTTCTAACCTACCTTCTTTTCCCTTTCAAGCCTTCCCACCCCCTTCCTTCTACGTTGAACTTTGATTAAATTATTCTTATATATATATATCTTTGAAGGTATATTCTTATAATCGAGAGTTTAAATCTTTATATTTCAGTTTTTGAATTTAAATTTTAAATTATAAAGAGAAAATTTAAAAAGATAAAATTTACTTAAGAATAAATAATATGAAGGAAAAAGAAAAACAATAAACATAAACAAAAGAAGAAAATGCATTTTTCCACTTTGAATGTTCATATATATGAATCACAAAAAATAAATCAATTGAATTTTTCTAAAAAAAGCACTATGAATACAGTTGGAATGATTTTATTTTTCCCCAAGTCATTTACAGGTGCCAAGCTGTCCACAGTTGGGAAAGCCAGCAATGAATCATGTGAGTTGTCAGAATATTACAAAGATTTGAATCATAAGATGAATCATTTGTACATTGTATAGCACCCTGTTCCTGTCAACCTTTACCTCCACTTTTACATCAACAATTGTATGGCTCCAGCTCCATTTCTATCAGGGGTCTCTGTAAGTTTCAGAGTTCCAGACTGGTGCTTACCTTGTTGTTTGGCCTGGTGTTGGGACCAGTAAGCATGGGCAGCCAAGACCCTGTCTAACAGTTCCTGGGGCACTGGCTCTCCCCTTCTTTGCTGAGGAGAGATCCTTGCTGTATGAACCAGCGTCTTCCATTTATCCTATAACATACACAGTGAGATTATGTCAATTTCAATTACCAATGGGTATCAGTTTATACGTGAATGCAATATATTCTGCTAATATTATCAAATAGATGCTTTCAAAATCACCACTCAACTTTCAAACGATAAAGATAATCATACCTTTAAATCCACGTAAGTTCGATGCTCAGCATTCTCAAAAGCTCGTAATTTAACATCCCGCCACCTGCAAAGCGACAAATATTTCAATTTAAGACATCATTGTAATTCACACTTCTTCAATGCGTCAAGTACAATCAATG